GCACGCCCTCACCCCACCGTTCCCCCAACTTCTGCCCACCACCAGCATCCCACGAGCCAAGGACGGTTCCACCCAGCATCCATCGAGGTGGGGACTGTGTCCCCCAAGAATCCCCCTAGCCCTGCAGCCCTGAGCCCTGCAACGCCCCCCGTGAGGCATCATCCGGGGCAGATAACCTCGTTGCTGGAGGTCGATGTTCACAAAGGAGACAGAGGAATCCTGCAAAGGCGGGGGGGCGGGTCAATTTTACATCTTCATCAATGACCTGGACGAGGGGATGGAGTGCACCCTCAGTCAGTTTGCAAACGACACCGAGTTGGGTGGGAGTGTCGACCTGCTGGAGGGTAGAGAGGCTCTGCAGAGGGACCTGGACAGGCTGGATGGATGGGCTGAGACCAACAGGATGAGGTTCTCCAAGGCCAAGTGATGGGTCCTGTACTTGGGTCACACCAACCCCCTGCAGTGCTCCAGGCTGGGGGCAGAGTGGCTGGAGCTGCCCCATGGAAAAGGACCTGGGGGTGTTGGTTGACTGTGGGCTGAACATGAGCCAGCAGTGTGCCCAGAAGGCCACCAGCATCCTGGTCTGTATCAGGTACAGTGTGGTGAGTAGGACTCGGGAGGTAACTGTCTTCCAGTACTTGGCACTGATGAGGCCCCGCCTCAAGGACTGGGTTCAGTTTTGTGCCCTTTACCACAAAAAAGACCTTGAGGTGCTGGAGCATGTCCAGAGAAGGGCAACGGAGCTGGTGAGGTCTCTGGAGCACAAGGAGAAGGGTCTGGAGAACTTCTGAGGGATCTGGGGGTGTTGAGCCTGGGGAAAAGGAGGCTGAAGGGAGACCTTCTGGCTCTCTCCAACTCCCTGAAAGGAGGGTGTAACCAGGGGGGGTTGGTCTCTTCTCCCAAGGAACAGGCTCTGGGACAAGAGGAAACGGCCTCAAGTTGCCCCAGGGGAGGTTCAGGTTGGAAAGCAGGAAAAATGTTAAGGGCTATTGCACGTTGGAACGGGCTGCCCAGGGAAGGGGTTGAGGCACCATCCCTGGAGGAGTTCAAAAGATGGGTTGACATAGCGCTTAGTGACATGGTTATTGGTGTTTTTTGGACATAGTCAGGTTGATGGTTGGACTCGATGATCTGAAAGGTCCCTTCCAACCCAGATGATTCAAAGATTCTAAAGACTCTCTTTGAAGGGAGAGTCCACTGGGGCATTCCCCTGCGGGGCCTCTCCACTTGCCAGAGGACACAACCTCCACTTTATCCTAATTCCACACCCGCATGTACCCCTCTTCCTTTCCCCATTGGCTGAGAGACTTGGAAGGTACAGACTTCTTAATCCACTTGTTACATAAAAGTTTAACTTTTGTGGTTTTTCAGTTGTCTAACTTTTGCAGTTTTGGTTATTTCCCCAATTTGTTGGTTATCTCGCCCCTGCAATTTCAGTTAACTTCAGTTAAGTTTGTGGAGCTACTCTTATCTGCATTTTATCACCTGATGGTGAAGACACTCTTATCCCAATCTTACCACAGTGAACCAACCCCCTTGCACCACCCCAGCCCTTTCCGAGAGGGTCCAGCATCTTCCAGGCACAGAAGAAGGGTTCCTTGGTGGGATGGA